GTAGTACCACCATGGCGACAATATGTAAGTATTGCTATGTTTGTAGTATCAATATTAGTAGTGCCACCATGGCGACAATATGTAAGTATTGCTATGTTTGTAGTATCAACATTAGTAGTGCCACCATGGCGACAATATGTAAGTATTGCTATGTTTGTAGTATCAACATTAGTAGTGCCACCATGGCGACAATATGTAAGTATTGCTATGTTTGTAGTATCAACATTAGTTGCGCCACCATGGCGACAATATGTAAGTATTGCTATGTTTGTAGTATCAACATTAGTAGTGCCACCATGGTGAACCTATGTAAGTATCCTCTGGGGCGGAGCCACGTCACGGACGTTCTACGTTGCTAAGACGCGCACCACTGTACCACGTATTTGTATGGGCTTTATGCGCGCTGCTGTGGAACGCCGGTGGAGTTGGTGAAAACTCGAGAAAACAACACAAACTCAACTTTGAAGTAATCCTGAACAACCAAATTCATATATGTTACACACGTAGGGCTAATCTTGTTACACTGTTCAGGGGACTCTCATCAACCATCGCAAAGTACCGTTTTTGCGAGTTTTTGGTCTTTGTTTTCACCGCGAGGATTGCCAGGCGGTAGAAAATGCCCGGATGTCCGTCCCCGAGGATTGCTATGTTTGTAGTATCAACATTAGTAGTGCCACCATGGCGACAATATGTAAGTATTGCTATGTTTGTAGTATCAAAATTAGTAGTGCCACCATGGTGAACCTATGTAAGTAGTGCTATGTTTGTAGTATCAACATTAGTAGTGCCACCATGGCGAACCTATGTAAGTATTGCTATGTTTGTAGTATCAAAATTAGTAGTGCCGCCATGGCGACAATATGTAAGTATTGCTATGTTTGTAGTATCAACATTAGTAGTGCCGCCATGGCAACAATATGTAAGTATTGCTATGTTTGTAGTATTGACATCAGAATATTGTTATTAGTTCCTGTTTGGCTGAAGGGGTTTATAATTTGTGCCAGTATTTTTGGTATTCCTTGACCAATCACATACATACTTTACATATGTGCAAGTACCGGTATATATTTTTTGATCAAGATGGGCAAATGGCAGCCATTTAATATTACCATAAATATATTGTTACATTAGTAGTATTGCCATTAAGTTATTGTTACATTAAAATATTGCCTTTAAAGTATTGTTACATTAAAATATTGCCTTTAAAGTATTGTTACATTATGGTAGTATTGAGAAAAGAAGGAATCCCTAGAGTAATGATGCTTCTGCAGTATCACATACAGAAACCTTGTTATGACTGAGACGATTTTTTTATTATTGTTAAATTAATAGTATCACCATAAAAGTATTGATGCATTAGTAGTATTGCCATAAAAGTAGT